AATACAAAACTAAAACAAACTGTCCTTGAAGATATGAATCGTGAAGGTAAAAGAAGAGGCTTAATGTCATATGAACAAGTGAAAGCAATTGAATTTATCAAAGAACCATTTACAATTGAAAATGGACTTTTGACACCAACATTCAAAGCACGTCGATATGCTGTAGAAAAGAAATATAAGGAATTATTTCAGAATATCTATAAAAGTGTGAATGCTTAATATGTGTGTTGTAATCTATCTGTTTAATTCATTCATTTGTTTCTGTTTTTTTGGTAAAAATGTAGTTTTCGAATGATAATAATAAAATAATATAAATGAATAGTTAGACATATTTGATGACAAATGAAAGTCGAAGAAAGACCTAGATATATATGATTAAAGTGAATGTCCGATGGTTTTTTATACAAAATAATTAGAACACAATGTAAACAAAGATTTTATCTCGATAATAAAACATAATATTGTAAATAATTTACAGATATCTGTATTTGATTTTATCTGGATAGTAATCTACTATTTTTGGACAAACAGAATGAATATACTCTATCGTCCCTTCATTAATAGTTACTCCGACATTACTTTTTACTATCAAACACGAGTAGAATTATAAGATAAGTTAATGTTCTGTATCATTCTTTGTATAGTATATGATTTTAGTTTATAAACATAGGTTTATATTAAATCACGAGAATAGCTCTATACGTAATGATTTTTTTTTTTTGTTAAAACTATTCTCATTCTTAACAGAATTTCAATGGTAGTTTGTAAATGATACGTCCTGTAGCGAATGAATACATGACCTTGCGATATAAAAGATATTACTTCGCTCGTACGAAAATCCTTTCTTGATGAAAAATCGTATATATACATTCATCAAATGTAACATATTGATCAAGTATGATGAAAAATAAAAATAATTTATCTACAATCTATTTAATTGTATTTTATTGATTTAACAAAAGCTTAGTATTTACTGGTTTTATTATAAAAACCTCTAGGATTTTAAATTTCGACATCCAATAAAAATATATTCCAAATTTTACCTTTCTTTATCAATATTCCGAATTATAGACATACCAAATACAAAAATATATAAAAACACGTACTCAATTCAACATACATGTTGTTACTCATTTAAATAATGATGACATAAGTACATACGTAAATCAATATCGTCATAATAAATGAGTTTTATCAGTAAATCTCTTGAATGTGATTTTCATACTTCTTCTTTTTTTTTTATAAATAAGTTTTACTCAACAATAGAAATTTCGTTACTTTTTCTTTTAGATTAATTATTCATTTTACATTAAACAATTCAATTTATTAAATTTTAGGTAAATTAAATTTGAAATAATTTTATTTTCGTTCTTTCGATCTTCTTTGTACGTTGATAAAAAAAATAAGGGAAGCAAAATTTAGAGTGTCTTAGTTTTTTTTTACAAAGGACGCGAACAACTTCTTCTTGTTACA